GCCCTCACACAGAAAACGGCTTCTCTACTAAGTAAACCAGTACAMAAAGTACAAAGACTTTGGAACAACCGGCGCTGATGGAAGAAATATTGAAGACTCTGATCAAATCTGCTATAGTGTGTTGCCGTGTTAGGTTTTAAAATTTATAACTTTAACAATATTTTTGTAAAATATTGAAATATTTTTCGATTATTTAAATTCCTAAATATTAAATTTAATCAGTTTTGTCCAAAATATTAATTATTGTATCAATATATTTTTAAATGTTTCCAATTTTATAAAAAAAAATATTTATATAATATTTGTGTAAAAACTATGTATTTGATGTGAGAATAACTCCGCAGCGGTCTCATATCTTTTCAAACAAGCCTGGGGCATAGGATATATTCGTTGTATAGATAAAGGGAACTGCGAACTCTTGCCAGTTGACCAGTGTGCGTCATTTCTAATAGCTCCCTCAAGAGCGCCTGCAACGACGCTTTGGTTCAAAATACATCTTGGCAAACTTTTCTAAGTTTACCAAGAGCTACCAATTCTACCTCATTTCAAAATATACTAATCGAGGTAAATGTGGACGTAGATGAAAGTAGCTTTCTACATAAAAATGCTTTTATGTATGTATTTTTGCGGTTATTTGTACTATAAATATTTTAAACAAAATATTTGTTTAATGCCCTTGCCAAGATTTGATGGTGGTATTACTGAAGAAGATTTTTTCTTCACTTCAGAAAAGCAACCACCCCTTGAATTTATAGATTTTCTACCAAAAATCGAAGATATTTATACACAACATTTTGATTCTACTTGCCATAGGATCGGGTTTTCCCAAATATTATTTAAAAAAAATGGTTAACGTAAAACCGTACTATTGTTGTGAAAATTCTTCTATTATAAAATATCTATTCATTAGAATTAGAACATATTTCCTAGTAAACGCTTTTAATAAAAAAGTAAAACAAAGTGATTTCAAAAACGTAAAGTTCTTGTGTGTTACACATAAATAGTAATCACGCCCGTTTGTCTGTCTATATGAGTCGGAATTTATATGTATGTCTGTCAGTCTGAATTATTTTGTATTTGTGAAAAAGTTTATCTGTCGAAGGCCGCATTTCCATTATCTGAATTTTAGCGATTAGGTTTGTACGCTGGTAATCAATATATTTTTTTTCTTTTTGTTTTTTAAGTGTTTTCGTGTACCAGGTATTGGATCCTTCTTTCCCCTACTATTCCTTTGATAGGGTTTTTAATAAGTATTTCGCTGTGGGTGATTTAGAATATTTTGTAAATATTATTTACTAC